GCCTCTGCCTTAACTCTCCCTGCCTTCCTAGATCCGACCAGTGTTTTGGTTTCATCCACATACGCTTGTGAATCTTTGTTCTCAGTGATGAATTTTGTTAAGTCTCGTAATAGGAGTAGCCTGACAGATGAAGTAGTAGCTCGTGCATATCTCTGAAGGTCACGAAATATAAACCCGATGTAAAATCTCTGTCATCAGTGATGCAGCAGCAAAAGTCCCACTGATAATATCAAACGGAGTCATAAAGTTTTCTGTCGGATTATCAGTGTACACGTATACATTAAAAAATAAATGGAGAGGAGAACCAAGATGGCGGCATAGGTTAACGCCGGAGTTTGCTGCTTTGAACAACTACTTCAAAAGTGAAACCAAAAAACGGAAGGGTCATCACCCAGAACCACAGGAACGCTGGCTGAGTGGAAGTCCTACAACTAGGAGGAAAGAGAAACGCATACGGACACTCAGAGGAGGCGCAGTGCTGAAGTCAAATTCTGAGGTGCGGAGTGCGCGGAGCGGGCTGGTGGCGGAGGGCGCGGTTGGCGTTTTCAATCAGGAGGGAGTTGCAGACTCTGAGCTCCAGATCCCAGACTCAGGCGGGAGAGGCGGGACTGTCTGGCTTCGGTCAGAGCGAGTGTAGCTTTCTCTCTGAGCTTTGCAGCGGGTGCTGGGACTCGGAGAGGCAGAGCCCCTGGGGACGGGACTGAGAGCCGCCATAACTGCTCTCTCCGGCCCACCCTGTTGATCCTGTTCGACCCGCCCCGCCCCACCCAAGCCCTGCACAGAGGCTTTTGCTGGATAGCCTCAGGCAAAGGCTAGATTAGCACCTCCCTAGAGGACAGAAGTTCTCTCACTGCTGACACAGCTGATTCTCATAGCCACTTGGCCTGGAGGTCAAACCCTCCCTGGAATTAGCTACAACAATCAAGATTTAACTATAAGACTTCGAACAAAGACCACTAGGGGGTGCACCAAGGAAGCATAACAAAATGCGGAGACAAAGAAACAGGACAAAATTGTCAATGGAAGATATAGAGTTCAGAACCACACTTTTAAGGTCTCTCAAGAACTGTTTAGAAGCCGCCGATAAACTTAATGAGATCTACAAGAAAACTAATGAGACCCTCGATCTTATATTGGGGAACCAACTAGAAATTAAGCATACACGGACTGAAATAACGAATATTATACAGACTCCCGACAGCAGACCAGAGGAGCGCAAGAATCAAGTCAATGATTTAAAATGCGAGGAAGCAAAAAACACCCAACCGGAAAAGCAAATTGAAAAAAGAATCCAAAAATGCGAGGATAGTGTAAGGAGCCTCTGGGACAGCTTCAAGCGTACCAACATCAGAATTATAGGGGTGCCAGAAGATGAGAGAGAGCAAGATATTGAAAACCTATTTGAAGAAATAATGACAGAAAACTTCCCCCACCTGGTGAAAGAAATGGACTTACAGGTCCAGGAAGCGCGGAGAACCGCAAACAAAAGGAATCCAAAGAGGACCACACCAAGACACATCATAATTTAAATGCCAAGAGCAAAAGACAAAGAGAGAATCTTAAAAACAGCAAGAGAAAGAAACTCAGTTACCTACAAGGGAATACCCATACGACTGTCAGCTGATTTCTCAACAGAAACTTTGCAGGCCAGAAGGGAGTGGCAAGAAATATTCAAAGTGATGAATACCAAGAACCTACAACCAAGATTACTTTATCCAGCAAAGCTATCATTCAGAACTGAAGGTCAGATAAAGAGCTTCACAGATAAGGAAAAGCTAAAGGAGTTCATCACCACCAAACCAGGATTATATGAAATGCTGAAAGGTATCCTTTAAGAAGAGGAAGAGGAAGAAAAAGGTAAGGATACAAATTATGAACAACAAATATGCATCTATCAACAAGTGAATCTAAGAATCAAGTGAATAAATAATCTGATGAACAGAATGAACTGTTGATTATAATAGAATCAGGGACATAGAAAGGGAATGGACTGACTATTCCTGGGGGGGAAAGGGGTGTGGGAGATGCGGGAAGAGACTGGACAAAAATCGTGCACCTATGGATGAGGACAGTGGGTGGGGAGTGAGGGTGGAGGGTGGGGCGGGAACTGGGAGGAGGGGAGTTATGGGGGGAAAAAAAAGAGGAACAAATGTAATAATCTGAACAATAAAGATTTAATTAAAAAAATAAAAAAAATGTATTTTTCATCATCACATACTGTGTTTTTGTCATTCGAATGAATTTTATTATTTCTTCAAGGTTCTTCACATACGTACACCTTGAGATACCAAGTAGGCGTAACATGTTCTCAAAAAATTAGGGTTGGCACGCAGAAGAATTTTGAGTCAGAGATTTTGCTGGTTTTGGCACGCACTCACAAAAAGGTTGCCCACCCTTGTCTTAGAACCAGGTCTCAATGCCCAGGCCAGTGCAGGCATGAGATTTTCTAAGCAGTATATGCCAAGAGTGAATTACACAGATGTCATTTCCAGAATGAGTATTTCTAATGAGGAGAGTAACTAGACCAGAAAGTGATAAAAATAACCGCCACCAGATTAAATGAAAATTAGTCATGTAACTATATGAACAGTTCACAAAAAAGTCAGGTACTCTGATATCTGTTGTGAACAGAAACTTGATTAGTCATTTCTCAGGTTTATAAATTCTCCCTGATGACAGCAACCAGCATGGCTTACTCCTTTTCTGCTTTTTGCACTTCCTGGTCACCTTGATGGTCTTAGTGTATACCATTCTCTTTATTAAGGTGAAGATTTGCCCTTAGCCAAAATTACAGTGTTGCATTATTAAATCCTGGGGGTCTGATGAATAACTAATTGTTGAAGGAACTAATAAAATTATACCAATTGTGAGTTTAGAATTAAAGAACCAGAAAATTTAGATAATGGAAAACACACTCCCCAGAGAGGCTAATGGAATGAGAACGGACTTAAGCATCAGGATGCTCTAGCTGGTTTGGCTCAGTGATTAGAACATCCACCCGTGGGCTGAAGGGTCCTGGATTTGATTCCGGTCAAGGGCACCTACCTCAGTTGCAGGCTCCATTCCTGGCCCTGGTCTGGGTGCATGCAGGAGGCAACCAATCAATGTGCCTCTCTCTGTCTCTCCCCTTCCCTTCCATTCTTTCCAAAAATCAATGGAAAAGAATCCTTGGGTGAGAATTAACAACAACAAGCATCAGGAATATCGCTGTTTGTCTCTTTACTCATTATCTGAAGCCTGCAGGTCTTGAAACAGAAACACACCTTTAGTTATCATCACTGACTTCCTTTTAGGCCTGGGTGGACTAAGGGCCTACGAGTAGGACGTTTGTTGAAAGAATACACAAACTATATTACAGACTTTCCATTTCATTTTTTTCTTCGAGTGACAAAGAATTCAATCATTTACTTTCCTAATGGAAGAGATTCACTTGCCTGAATTCATTTCTGGTAATATTTTTAGACAATTAAAACATATGCTTAGTTCTTCCTAATTCTGGACCCTTTAAAAATCTGAATTTTAGTATTTCTCTCCACCCCTCCTTTTTTTTGGTTAATCCTCACCTGAAAATATTTTTTCCATCTATTTTTAAAGAAAGTGGAAGGGAATGAGGTTGGGAGGGAGGGAGGGAGAGAGGCGGGGGCTCAAGCCTGCAACCCAGATACATACCCTTGATCTGAATCAACCCAGGTCCCTTCAGTCCTCAGGCCGACACTCCAACCACTGAGCAAACCGGCTAGGGCTCAATCAGCCTCTTTTAAAATCTCCCCAGAGGGTGCGAATGTGCAGCCAGGGTTCAGAACCACTGGTCAGTCTTTACTAAGCAGAGTTGACTTAATGCTCTTACAAAAGTGAGTTTTTGAGTGTATTTTGCCTTAGTGACATCCTTGCCAAAACTGAAATGTATTCAAACTCCCGTTGCCCTACAGATCCCCGTGTCAGCGCTCTTTTCACCATGAAACGGATCAAGCCTTAAAGCCGAGCTGTGTAACCAAAGGGAACGGGGCGCCTCATCCCCGGACAACCTCTCAGAAGTTCAAGGGTGGGACCCAAAGATGAAGCGAACCAAGACCAACTCTACACTTAGCAGCTTGGCTCAGCCTCATTGTTCTGGCTTCAGACGTTAAGGGATGCTTGGGGATTGCTAGCTAATAGTAGAGAGGAAACGATATGGGCCGCGCTAACCCCGAGGAGGACAGGCTCTCCGGGCACAATCAGATCAGCCCCTAAGGCTCTCCTCCCGAGGCTATTTCTGGAAAGCAGGGATTTTCCAGATTCCCGGGAGCCGGCGCGGGGCTCCACAACCCGGCGGCCGGCGAAAGCAGCCGCCCTCCCGGGCCTCCAGCCTCCAGCCTCCAGCCTTCGACCCCATCGCTCCCCCACGCCCTTTTTTGGGGAACCGATGCGGCTGGCGTTCCTGTCTTCTACAGATCCTATAAAGCACTCCTCTCCGGATTCCCCGCGGGTCGCTTTCAATTACAAGCGTGTCCCCACACATCTGGGTTAGCACTCGCACCCGCCCGAGGGGGCGAAGGTCGCCCCTGGGGTCCCCCTGGTCCACTGCGCCCCGCAGATGCGAACACTCGGGAGAGGGCGCGCGAAGGGAGCCCGGGGACGCAGGGTCCACACAAACCACCGACATCGCGCGGAGGCAGTGGTAACTGTTGCCAAGTCTCACTTGGGGAGGAGGTGAGCTTGCAAAACTCCCGCATTGTTACTGTGGCTGAAAACATTACAGACAAGGCAGTTTGGACGTTTTTAGCTAAAAAGACCTTGGGGCCACCCCGACCACTTTAGGGCGGCCCAGCAGACAGGCCACCCAGGTCCCCCCGGGGTCCCACACCTCGGCCGCAGTGCCCGGACCGCGCGGGAGGAGGCGCCGCCGGCGGGGGGCGGGGTGAGGGGGAGGAGGACCTGGAGGGACTAGTTGGCTCGCGCCGCTGCGCGTGGTGACGTCAGAGCGGAAGCGCACGGTGCGTAAAGCGGCTCGGAACGCGGCGGTCACGGGCACATCCGTCGCGCCGAGGACGCTGGTTAGTTTCGCTCCGGGTTCCGGCTGCGTCGGGCGTGCGTGCAGCTCGCGGAGACTATGGCGTCCGGGCCTCACCCGACAGCGACCGCTGCCGCCGCCAGCTCGTCGGCCGCCGCCCCCAGCGCGGGCGGCTCGAGCTCGGGGACCACGACCACGACGACGACCACGTCGGGAGGGATTCTGATCGGAGACCGCCTCTACTCGGAAGTTTCTCTCACCATCGACCACTCGCTGATCCCGGAGGAGCGGCTGTCGCCCACCCCGTCCATGCAGGATGGGCTCGACCTGTGCAGCGAGACGGACTTGCGCATCCTGGGCTGCGAGCTCATCCAAGCCGCCGGCATCCTCCTCCGGCTGCCGCAGGTCGGTGCTCGGGCCCGGGCCGCCGGGCGCGCCTCTTCCCCCCGCTCCCCCCCCCCCCGGCATTCCCTTCCCACCAGGTGCCGGCAGGGCGGGGGGGGGGGGCGGACCGGGAAGGGCCCCCTCGGGACTTTTCTCCCCGGGTCCCAGCCGGAGCGGAGCGGGGCGGGTGGGCGGGGAGGCGAGGCTCCCTCGGTGCTCGCGGTGGGGAGGGCCGGGGAGCGAGCGGCGGCACAAAATGGCGGCGGCGCCTGGTGCGGCCCGCCTGACCCTGGCGCTTCCGCTCTTCTCTCTCGTCTGCAGGTGGCGATGGCGACGGGGCAGGTGTTGTTCCATCGGTTCTTCTACTCCAAGTCTTTCGTCAAACACAGTTTCGAGGTAAGGACGGCGGGGGCGAGGGCAAAAGGATTTCCCCATCCGGAAATGGGGGTGTGGGGCGGGGCGGCGCTAGCAGCGAGCTCTCCCGGAAAGATAGTGGTTCCTTTGGGCCTCGGTACCTGGTTCTCACTCCCCCGGAAGTGGGGGCTTGTGGAATGGGTCCCGGGTCCCGAGCCCTAGAACCCAGGAAATGGGTCCCGGGTCCCGGGCCCTCCCATCAGTAATTAGAATTTTCAGCCGAGCTCGAAAGCCCTGTGAGACTGGACTTGATTGTCTCTGGATTCAGAATGGAGGGATTAATCAGTTAAAATAATTCACAGAATTAACGGGGCCGGGAAGCTTATGGCTTGGAAATGTCATCTTAATTTTATTTCACCGAAGGTTGTCCTAGTTGTGTCCTCCCAAAGCTTTTCCAGCAGAATAAGGTAGTTAGGTTTGGGGAGGGGCACCGTTTCCGAACGGCGCGGGGTAGAGCCCTCCTCTAACAAGGTTTCCTTGGCTCCTTCCTTCAGATTGTCGCCATGGCTTGTATTAATCTTGCATCGAAAATCGAAGAAGCGCCCCGAAGAATAAGAGACGTGATTAACGTGTTCCACCACCTACGCCAGTTAAGAGGAAAAAGGTAAGATTGGCATGATTGAGCACAACATCTCTCGCTGCTGCTGTACTGTGCACACCAATCATCAGACCAAACATGCTTTCCTCTCAAGTGAAAACCCATGCACAGGGAAACTTACTCAGGTGTTGAAATTCACACAGGAGCACACTGATACTTAATAACCAAAGAAAACCAAAAAACAAACCCCAAACCAAAAACCCCCACAATTAACCAGCTATCTGAAGTTTGTAGAGGCAGTTCATTTATGGACAATCCTAACAGTGCTGTGAAGCAGTCCTGTGGCTTAAGATTAAACAAGAAAGGGAATGCGTTGGGCTCAAGTGTGAGTGTATCTGTAAGTTGTTTCTCCCCACCCCTCTCTGGAAGACTGAAGGCTGGAAGTTTAAACGGCAGTTCAAGTTCATAACGTGGCACAGTTTTGTGTAGGTTGTTTCTCTACTCGGAAGTCCCAGTTAACACGTTATCAATTGAGGTTGGCTTTTGTTAAGAGTACTTCAACATTGAACTACGGTATACCGGATCTGAAAGGCCTGCAGGATGATAAAGTTTGAAGTCAAAGGGATTAAACAGGTATTTTGTCTTGGTCAGATAAGTCCCAGTGAGTGGGTTAGAAAAATAACTCTTGATTGATTGGGTTATATTTAGATAAGGCTCCTTTAATTTCTCTTGTAAGAAAATAGAGACCAAAAGAGTGCCTTCTAGGTGTTGTGGCTGCATCATAACACTTTATGTGGACTTAATGTTCATGTGAGCAGGACCAGAAATTTTAGTTGCAGCACTTCAGGTGACTTCTAGTGCATGCTGCAGAAGGAGATAGCTGGAATAGATTAGGTCTTTTCACTTTTTAAGAAATTGTGATGTTAGATAAACTTGTATGGAGTTTGAAAGGAAGTTATAAAAGGATTTTAAGTTGTTTTGGGGATTGGGTGTTGGTTAGTGCCAACTTAGTATCCTACCTGAGTGTTTCTTAATCAGCTGAATCTGTAGGTTGGCATAATAGAACTATTCAGAGACAAGCAAATAGAAAAGTAACCTTAAAACAATTAGTTAAAAAGTTTGAAACAGTGCTCTTCAGATAGTTTTCACATTTTTTTAGTTTTCTTACATTTTTTTTCTGCCATCTTTCCTCATTCACCCTAACCATATCCAGGGATAGACTAATTTTTTATTTCATTTTAAAATATCTTTTAGCTTCTTGGTGAGGAATTCCTGGAAATTGGGAAGATTTCAATTTGGTATTTAGTGTGGTCTGAGCTAAAATTTACATTTAGATATCTCACTGATTCTTCAGGGTGTTTAAAACACACTAGTAACAAGGCTCTTTAGTGAAAGGATTCTATGCTGGTTTAAAGGAAATAGCTTTCTGTTATTTTTTGAACCATTGAGCCAACTCTTATCACTTAATAATGATTATCTACTTTGAAATTTTTCTGTGAGCCTTAGAGCATTCTTCCTCCATTTCAGAGAGTAGTTCTTAACTATAAAAATCTTGGAATGTAAAACATTTCACCTGACTTTTGTGTCTGTAACTGGTTTTTTGGGGGGGTCGTTACAAAGAGACTGATTTTTGTCTCGATCTTAGAAGTGACTAGCATGAAATTTAAAAGGAGTTGTTAATTGCATGGAAGCCTTTTTTTTTTTAAAGCAGGATGTAAAAGTGTTTCTATGCATATTACAAGTTTACTCAGAAACGTAACTTGTATATGTTATTAACTTCAACTCTTTTTTCCCTTGCAACCGACTATACAGCGACCAGCTACATTTACCAAAGCCTGGGTGATGTGGAGTGGTACATAGCGATGAAGCTGTCGTCATGGCAACAGTGAGTGAAGTATGGAAAATCCCCAAGGAGAAGCCAGTGCTCTGAGAATAGGTCACTGGAATCGGGGACTAACAGGTTGGCCACTGCTGAACCATTTAGAAAAACTCCTGTTTCTTGTTATAAGCTTTAATCTTTGCTGTCCAAGTTATATAACTGTAGCTTAATATTGTTTTTTCATAGATTAATGTCATTAGAAAGTATTGTCAGTATTATACTTCAGTTGGTAAAATAATGTCAGCTTATTTTAATGTTATTTATTTTAATGAAGTTTATGAAAGTCTTATTGTAGTGTGAACTAGAAAATTACAAAGGAGGAATCATTTCTGTAGCCTTTAGATATTGTTTTTCAGTCCCGGCTACACATTAGAATTACCAGGTGAACTTTTAGAAAGTACCAATGCCCAAGCCACATTCTGTATTATTTGACTGTTTCCCCCTTTGATTTTTTTGGTAGTTTCGTAATTGTCTTTTAAACTCAGAATACATGGCTGAATTTAATAGTTTCCAATTATAATTTGCTTTTGGGGTGGAACATATTCACAGCAAATTAGGGTTTTCTGTGGTTTCAAGGAAAGGCTCAATTAAACGTGTAATTTACAACTTTCAAAGATAAGACTTCGTTGTCTAAAAGAAGACATCTTCAGACTGGTGCAACCACTCTCATTGGTACATATGGTGTATTTTCAACATGTATATAAATCATGGATGAAAGTTAGAACGGTCGTAAGTCCAGCCTCCATTTGCAGTTTTATTTTATGGCTCTAATGGTGGCCTTCATTTTGTTTTTAAACACTGCTAAAAAAGAATGTTCCTTTGAAGTCGTATTGCAGATTTCTGTGTATTGAGCAGGAGGAGTCTGCCTCTTTGTAAACTGTAGTATAGTTCCTGAAGAACTAGTTTTCATACTACATGAGTGAAACTTAACCATGTTTGCATCTCCTGATCCTAATTTCTTTGTCTTTGAGGTATATTTGAACTAAGTCATGCTAACGGAAAAATAGCTGTCCTAAGAGGGCAGATAATAAACTTTTAATGGTCAAAGCCCAAGATTTCCTATTAAGACTAAAATTTGGAAATCGTTCTTTTCATATAAATTAATTTGAAAAGTATGACAAACTTCAAAGCCGGTAAGGTAGAGGTAGATTTGGTTGTTAGTTGATAACAAATTTTTTTCTCTCTCTTAATAAATGATTTCTTTTTTAAGAGATTTTTTAAAATGCCACCTCTTCAAACTTTTATCAGAAAGGAGATTTAACATAATTGGAGAGGAAGGCATTCCTTAATTCAATTTAATGTGCTTATTGCTACAGAAAGTACTAATTGATACTATGTTAATAAAAAGAAACCACTTGCTTAGACGGTTTTCTTGATCCTTTACTTGCTTATTTATCCAAACACATTTTTCTCCTACAAAATACAAGTTGTAAATTATACATTTATTGAGCCTTCCTTGATTTGTGAGGTAAAACCAATTCTGCACAAAAATGTAGGTGTTAGATTATACACCCACAAAATTAACTTTGAAAACTGTAGGTATTAGTAGGCCTAAGCAAAAAGTTGAGTATGTAGTTGAATTAATAGTGGATAATGGATTTAGTTTCCTTAATCATTTGATGTTATTGGAGTGTTGACACCAAAATAGAGGGAAAGTAAAGATCGTGGCAGAGTAGATGGAAAATAACAGTTGGTTTAAGCAGAATTGATAATTAAGCCTGATTTACTAGCAGAGAGTAGCCATAATTTGAACAAGTATTTAGCTGGTTAATTACAAGAAAAATGAATTTTAACTATTTGAAGGAAACTTTTAAAGCAAGCTTTAGTAAGATGTATAAATGAGTTTACTCAATAGAAATGGGAAATGAGATAAAACTGCTTTTATATGGTTTCTAATGGTGCAGTTTTGCTGTCCCAATTGCAATGGATTAACAGTTAAAGTTCTGGGTGCCACTATAACACGGAAGGTCTCCTTTCTCCTAATGCCTGTTGAGGGAGACATTAGCCTGAGGTGGATTTAACTTCTAAATTTCCTGTCATGATGAAACCTGAAAAATAATAAACCTTAAGTTCTTTGAGATATGCTTTCATGTATACATTTATTGGTCTTGAGGTAAATTTGATTTTTTCCCCTCCAAAGAATAGTTAACTTGTAGCCTATTGTCCTAATAAAAATGGATTCATTGATACTATGCTAGAAATCCGCCCTCTCCAATTGATGGCCTCATTTCTCACACCTTTTATATCTGTAATAGGAATTGAACTGAGTGAAGGCCATTTTCAGCATTGTTAATCTTAACAGCTATTTTCCATTTTGTCAGCTTGCCAGCGTCTGTCTTGTTTAATACAATTTGATTAAAAAAAAATTGAAATAGCTTAGCAAGCATTCTAGTTTTCATCATTTTAAATGTGAGAAAATAAGTGATTTCTTCTCTGATAACATGTCACCACAGGGGTAGTTAATGCGGCTTATTTCACATTGTTATCTAATTTTCAAGTGGATGTATTAAAATTGGTTTTTGATTTTAAAGTGTTAGCTTACATTTTTCTGGATTTGCTGTGCATGGTAAAAGGAGTTGTGAGTTGGGGTAATATTCAGAATTATTATGTTTTTAAAATAGATGTTGTGTTCTGCCTAGGGCAGAAGCTCTTGAATCTTTTGGCTGATAATTGAGTATGGGGAAAATATTTAAATATCCTACATATACATGTATATATCATATAATCAATATTTTTAATAATATCTTAACAAAAATATATTTTTGTTGGTTCAGTCTAAAAATGTATCAAACAAAGGACACTAGGGGATTTTATGGGCTTTTAATGAAAAGTCCAAGTCTTAACAAAAAAAAATTCTCAGTAAGAAGCTAATTTTGAACATAAGCTTTAAATAAAAGAAACCGGTTTTTCATTTTAAGACTTAAATAAGATAGTCTTTTAATTGAATGTGCTGTTTCTAAAGCATTGAGCCCTGACTGTTAGATAGCCTTCTGCATCATAACTTTGGAAGCTATCAAACTTGAATCTGGCACAGAGACCTTGAGTGTTGTCCTGGTTTCCTCATTATGGTCCTCCCTTCTCTTGCATTGCTAAATATACTGCCTAATAACTACAACTCAACCAAATTTAGGCATGGTTTTTATTGATCACTTTGAATTTTTAATCTGATTTAATTTTATAAACTATTTTGGTAATTGAACTAAATCTTTAGTTTCCAGATTATTTTCTTTAACAGAAATAGAATCTTAGAACAATTTGCTTAAACAAATTGCCCATTGCGGGGGAAATGTGGACTAGCTACCCAGTATTTTTTCCCTTAATTTTAATTTTGGCCATAAAGTAACCAAGAGTTGATATTTTGTAAAATCACTATAATCTTACAAGGTCTTATAGTAAATATTTTCAGGAGCACTTTCATTTTGTCAGTGCAGAGAGTCTGGAGACTAATGAGATTTGTGATAGCTGTCACTGACGTTAAGCAACATATATTCCCAAAGTATCCATATGAAATAACCAAGGATAAATACAAGAGATGTAGAGTGAATTATTTCCATTGCAGGATTGAGTTAGTTCTATAGGAATTTAGAAAGTATATATTTAATTAGCATAACTTGGACAGCACAAGATTAATGCCTTAACTTGTTTGCAGGAGTTTAAAAAGCTGGTTTCTGTTGCCAATAGTTGGTTGGAAGGGAAAACGGAGATGCCACAAATAAAAATTTTTGGATGTGCAAAACAGTTTTGATTTTATTTCTTACAAACTATAGGACTCCAAGCCCCCTCATCCTTGATCAGAACTACATTAACACCAAAAATCAAGTTATCAAAGCAGAGAGGAGGGTGCTAAAGGAGTTGGGATTTTGTGTTCATGTCAAGCATCCCCATAAGGTGAGTTATAGAGTACAGGAATTGTATTCGTAAGTATTAGGGTTTTTTTAAACTTTTATTTTACATGAATATATGTTTATATTTGAGAGTCCACCTTGGTTTTTAAATGCGACCTTTTAGATTTTGAAATTTATCAGAAAAATGGGAGTCAAAAAGACAGATTCAAAACTTTACTGTTGTGTAGGCATTGATAAGTTCTTTTTGCCTCTGTGGTTAACCCAGTTTTCCCTACCTAGAAACAGAGTTTATGAAATAACTCATTCCAAGGAATAAATTCTATATATATATATGTGGGTGTGTGTATATGCACAAAAAAGTCTGGCATGCTACCTATTGCATTGTAAAATGTTCAAGCTGTGTTGGCTGCTTACTGTTACTGTTTCTGAATGTTCAAAGGTTTCTCTAGCAAGTCTTGGCTTGCATGTGGCTGACATAAGTAACAGCAAAATAGTTACAAGAATGGGTGCCCTGAAAGCAGAACTCTCTGCAATAGAAACTTGTCTCTGCCATTAGCTGAGTGACCTTGGCAGATATCTCTCTGTTCTTAGATTTCACAACTCTAAAGTTGTAATACAGGTCCTAAAATACCTCATCTGAACTGAGGTAAAGCTACTTACGTATAGTGTGATAAGCTTCACTGTAGAAACATTCAGTGTTTGATACTTACTATAATACCTACTTGGAGTTTTACAATGTATCATGCCCATTATATAACTTTTAAAACATAGTGTTTAGGGTTTGGGACAGGCAGAGTTGTACCTTGGGAAATTAAATGCTATAATCTTGTTTGTAGGACACAATGCCTGCCACTTAGTATTCATGAAAAATTGTTTTTTATTGAAATAACTCCCAATTTTTTTCCCTGTACAATCTTGAAACATTTTTAAATAATTTTTATGGAATCTTGTAGCATAATAACCCACATTGATTCAGATACATTTTAGATTGGTCTGTATAATTTATGTAGTTTACAGAAGAATTAAAATTTGAATCTAACATTTTCAGTTACTTATATGCATTGAACTCTGTACTCGGAAAGAACCAATGTTGTGCTAAACTGAGTTTTTTTCCCCTTGTCCTTCAGATCATTTTTATGTATTTACAAGTCTTAGAATGTGAACGTAATCAAACCCTGGTTCAAACTGCCTGGTAAGTTGTTTTGGTTTTTTTTTTACATTTTTTTCCTAGTCAGGAAAACAGAAGCAGAAATAAAGTAAGTTTCGTTTTCCCTTTCCAAAATAATGAGATGAGTTTCTTTTGGTGCTTTTTTTGTTTTGTTTTTTAATCAAAAGGTAAATAATGCTTATTTCTGCTTCCTGTTTTCTTGGCTTGACTAGTTATTTTTAATGGAGAACTCAATTTAACTTTGTTCTTTTTTCTACTCTTTAATTAAAGGGTAGTCCATGATGGTAAGTCATAGAACTCTGCCCTCTGCACTTCAGCCCATGACCTCAGGATGGCCTGATTGGCTGCCCTGCTCTCCAGCCAATCCAGTGCAAGCTCTCATCCGAGATTCACTGAAGTGGTCCATATCCATCTGGCAGCATCTTCTAGTTCTGTCGGGGTGTCAAAAGGATTTGTATATTTGCTTCTAGAAGTAACTATTCAACATGCCTATGTATTGAATGTATACCTGTAACTATCAAAATGAATAGTTCATTTTTGATAGATTGTTATCCGACCATTGAATTAAGTGATTTTTTTGTTAGGAGTTTGACTAGATTTCAACTTTCAGTATGTATAGCATGAATTCTACCAAAGGAAGCTACAACTTGTAGCTTAAAGTGGGCACCATTTCCATTCTGGATGAATTTCTAGCTGCTGGGCTATTGCAGACAATAACAGAATTAAGAAGTACTTGATTTTTCAAAGCACTTTTATAACATGGACTTTTGAGATGCAGATATGTGATTTGGAATGCTAGCTTATTTAAAGGTAAAGTAAAACAAGGATTTGTTGTCCAGACATAACTACTGTCTCAACACAATAGGTGTACAGGACTTAATTTTATGTTCTGGACTATGACTGCCATACTTGTTTTGGATTCAGTAAATATTAGTAATAGAAAAGTTTCACTGCTTTTATAAAATGCATGACATTTTTAATATATGTTCTGTAAAACAGATTTTAGCAGTTACAGTAAGGATTTTTAAGAAACAACCTTGTAGTTTAACCTTTTAAACAATTTGTAAAATTTTTTCAATACTTCAGGGATGTTGTGGGGAGGGTTCACTAAAGAAATCAAGCAGTTTATTAGCTGAAGTAGTTAATTGCTTTTCTTTGTACTTAGTCACAAAAAAAGGTATATAAACAAGGCTGTTTTATATATTTATTGCTCTTCACTTCCCTGTCTAGATTTTCTGAAGTACTTAGTTTTCTTAATATAACTTGGTGAGTGCTTACCTTTTTACCCCTGTCACAGTACTTTGAATTTTTTGAAAGAACTTGGTTGACACTGCTTTTCATTGTGGATAAAGGAGAGATGGTCAATAATTAATGGCTTGAAGTATTGTTGGAGTGGTTTATCATTTCTGAAACTAGTTATTCAGAATTGACTTTTAAAGCATTGATTTTCATAAAAATATAGTTTTAAAATTTTACATATATGTTCTATTTGGAATAATAGAATTATTTTAAAAGAATTTAGTCATAGGAAAGCTGAAGAATTGTTCTAGTGTTAAATTCTTATCTCTCTGATTTTTGAGTTAAGAATTGTTATTTGCTAGAATATGAAGATATAGATACAAATACGAGAAGAAAAAAGAATAAAGTAGATTGAGTCTCCAATTTTATGTAAGCTTTAGAACTGGTTTATGTACAGAGCTTATAATTAAAATATTTTTCAGGAATTATATGAATGACAGTCTTCGAACCAATGTATTTGTTCGATTTCAACCAGAGACTATAGCATGTGCTTGCATCTACCTTGCAGCTAGAGCTCTTCAGGTAGGTTTAGATAGCCCGTTTTGTTCTGTGGGATAAATTAGTCCTCCTAATAAAAAACAGTAAACATTTGATCTAAACCACTCTCTTTTCACTGTTTAGATTCCATTGCCCACTCGTCCCCATTGGTTTCTTCTTTTTGGTACTACTGAAGAGGAGATCCAGGATATCTGTGTAGAAACTCTTAGGCTTTATACCAGGAAAAAGGTAATTCTGTTTACTCGTGTTTGTGCTAATACTTTCTCAGTGCTAACACTCTAAACTGTGAAGGCGAGATACTAACTTCATTTTCCTCCAATAGCCAAACTATGAATTGCTGGAAAAAGAAGTGGAGAAAAGAAAAGTGGCCTTACAAGAAGCCAAATTAAAAGCAAAGGGATTGAATCCTGATGGAACTCCAGCCCTTTCAACCCTTGGTGGATTTTCTCCAGCCTCTAAACCATGTAAGATTTATTCAGAATTGAAATGAGGTGGGCACTGAAGGTGTGTGATTATTAGAATGCTTTAGCATTTATCATTTGCAAGGAAACGATGTTAAGAAGCCATTACTATTTTCTCTTGACAGTCAACTGAAGACATACTTGAAAGCGTGATACTTGCATTATACGCACGAACAACTTTTGAGCCTCTGTTAAATCCAGTAGTTAACATGTCTTTATTATGTTTGTTTATTTAAGCATCACCAAGAGAAGTAAAGGCTGAAGAGAAGTCACCTATCTCCGTTAATGTGAAGATGGTCAAAAAAGAACCTGAAGACAGACAGCAGGCTTCCAAAAGCCCTTATAATGGGTGAGTATACTTGAGTTAGAACTGGCCCCAGGAATATGTGATTAATTTCTAACACACTAAATACGTAACTAATACACTGTTTTGTTTGTTTGGTTTTTTTGTTTTGTTATGTTTTTTGAAGTGTAAGAAAAGACAGCAAGAGAAGTAGAAATAGCAGAAGTGCAAGTCGATCAAGGTCAAGAACACGATCACATTCTAGATCACATACTCCAAGAAGACAGTAAGTAAATATTCTCTTAGAAAAAACAACTTTATTTGGAGTGTTTAAAAAGTTACTCTTTAAAAAAAAATTGAACAAATTAAGTGTGAAAAAATTGTCTTTCTGTCTGATTTCTGTTAGAAAATTGACTATTTCATTAATCACTTATTGGTTAATAAATCAACCATAGCCAAAGAATTTTCTAATTAGCTTTATAATTAGATTGTGGCTCTTTTTAATGTATGGGAAATACTTAATAAAAAGCATAGCTATCTAGAACATCCTGTAAAACTTGCTAAATACTCTCCTTGGCATATAGACATTTACATTTGTTTAAGATTTGTCAATATAGGCTTGAGGGAAGGTAGTGAGGGGGAGAAATTTAATAAGTCTTCAGTCTAGCCTGTTGTCAGTACAGGCCTGATAGTTTTGTTTTGAACTTGTTTTGAGCACCACCAAAATAATCTGTTTCCAGCAGAAATCGAATCTAAATCTCAAATTTTTATTGTCTAAGTTACAATAATAGGCGGAGTCGATCTGGAACATACAGCTCGAGATCAAGAAGCAGGTCCCGCAGTCACAGTGAAAGCCCAAGAAGACATCATAATCATGGTTCTCCTCACCTTAAGGCCAAGCATACCAGAGATGATTTAAAAAGTTCAAATAGACATGGTCATAAAAGGAAAAAGTCTCGTTCTCGATCTCAGAGCAAGTCTCGGGATCACTCAGATGCGGCCAAGAAACACAGGCATGAAAGGGGACATCATAGGGACAGGCGTGAAAGATCTCGCTCCTTTGAGAGGTCCCATAAAGGCAAGCATCATGGTGGCAGCCGCTCAGGACATGGCAGGCACAGGCGCTGACTTCCTCGGTTGAGCCTGCATCAATTCCTGGTTTTGCCTATCTAGAGTGTGATGTATGGACTCATAATCAAAACATTAAAAGCAAACTGATTAGGATTTGATTTCTTAAAAACCCTCTAGGTCTCTAGAAACACTGAGGACAATTTCTCTTGAAAAGAACTATGTTAATTTTTTTTTTTTTTTTTTTTTTTTTTTTTTGCACATTAAAATGCCCTAGCAGTATCTAATTGAAAACCATGGTCGGGTTCAATTGTACTTATTATAGTTGTGTATTGTTTATTGCTATAAGAACTGGAGTGTGAATTCTGTAAAAATGTATCTTATTTTTATACAGATAAAATTGCAGACACTGTTCTATTTAAGTGGTTATTTGTTTAAATGATGGTGAATACTTTCTTAACACTGGTTTGTCTGCATGTGTAAAGATTTTTACAAGGAAATAAAATACAAATCTTGTTTTTCTAAACTGCTTCAAATATTTTATTAAATTATTGAAATGAGCAGAATTTTAATAGTAAAATGACTACTGATTTTCTAGCAAACCTATTCTTAGCTAGTTTGAGATTATACAATTCTTAAGTCTTCCCTGTATATATGGAAAAAGAAAATGGGAGTGTAACATTAAATAAGTCAGTTTTAAGTACTATTTCTAAAGTGAACTGTCCTCATGAACAAACCCAAACTTTTAACATGACAGTGAGTCAGACCCAACTATTGGGCTTTAAAGTTTATTTATATATTCAATGATTTTTATCTAGGCTAGGATAATTCAGTAATGAGGTGAGGCCCTCAGAACCTGGTTGGCTGATAAAGTAAAATCTGGACACAAAAATGAGGTTTTGAAAATGCCATTATTGTGTATCCAAATGAATATTTTTCAAATTACTTATATTGAGAGTTATTTTCCCAATATTTTGGAAGTGAATTTAGAAATTTTAAAAGGCCATAATAAAATATTGCAGTACTTTATAGTTACACTAGAGGCCCAGTGCATCAGATTTGCGTACTGGGTGTGGGCGGGTGTACCCCAGCCTGATCTGTGCTCTCTCCCAGCCTGGGAGCTCTAGGCGCACATCCTTAGTGCTGCTGCAGAGGCGGGAGAGACTCCTGACAGCCTTGAGCCAGATTCTGGCTGAGTAGTGCTCCCCTATGGAAGTGTACTGACCCCCAGGGGGCAGCTCCGGTGTTGAGCGTCTGGCCCCTGGTGGTCAGTGCGTGTCATAGCAACCAGTCCTGCAGTTCAGTCGATTTGCATAATACCCTTATATTATATAGAATTAGGTTTTCCATTAACGTTTTTTCACCCACCTTGGTTACTAATCAACTATATGTGGCTCCAAATGATTTGTTGCATTTTCAGAAAATCACATACACCCACAAAGAGATGAAGACTTAATGCCATTAAGAATTTTTTTTTTTTTAAATAAATAGTTACAGCTGAGAAGGATTCCAAAGGTTTCCAAATTTTCACCAGTGGCTGGCAGTAGGGCTGGAAAAAGTAGAAAGCCTCACAAAGCAGCTACATTGACAGAAACAAGATTCCTTTGGATATAAAAATGTTGGGCATGCCACTTAAATACGTTCTGTTTCTAACTAAAAACTAATACAGCCTAGCATGAATGAGTAATTTTTGAGATAGTAAATAAAGAGTGTTTTACATGTTCTAATAATATTTCTGTAGAACTTAAACTGCCTCTAAGTAGTGAACAGTTTGTTTCCTTTACATGACAGGCATTGAAGAAGGGCAAAGGCAAATGTCAACAAAGGTCCTGTTTAAGAGATTAATCTTTTTCTTTTAAATATATATAGATATAGATATAGATATTTCTTTGTTGATTTCAGAGAGGAAGGGAGAGGGGGAAAGAAACATCAATGATGAGGGAGAATCATCGATTGGCTGCCTCCTGCACACCCTCCACTGGGGATCAAGCCCACAACCCGGGCATGTGCCCTTGGCCGGAATCAAACCCAGGACCCTTCAGTCCGCAGGCCGACACTCCATCCACTGAGTCAGACCAGCTAGGGGCAAGAGATTAATCTTGCATTCTTAATTGTGTCTTAAGTTTTTACCTACCTTCTTGTTTTGAAGTAACTATGGATGTGTGAAATTCACTATTAGAAGACTGAAGATGTGGAGGGTACACCTGCATGGGGGTTAAGGTTTATATGTCAGTGGTAGCTGTGCCAAGGATATCTTCCCCTGTGCCCTAATTTTTGTCTTGTGCTAGTTTTCTAAGTTCTTGTGAAGAGGTTTACAAATTTACACCTCTCCAACTGAATTAAAATACATTTTTTTTGGAAAAATAAGTTTAAACTTTTATGCTGGGAAATACCAAATAGAAGTAGTAGAGTACCCATTTCTCAGCTCCAAAAACACAGATCAAATGGTGGTCAGCCAGCCTTGATTATACCTCTCCAATTCACTGCTCTACCTCCTGCCCTTATTTGGAAGAGAATTTCAGATAAATGACTTCATCCCCAAATATTCCAATTCAAGAGAAAGGTAAGAATTTTAAACTTAACGATAGTACTTTTATTATTATTTAAAAAGTTAACAGTAATGTCTTACTATTCAGTTAGGTTTTCCTTTTTAAAAAAATACATTTTTATTGATTTCAGAGGGGAAGGGAGAGAGAGAAACACCAATGACTAGAGAATCATTGATCAGCTGCCTTCTGCACGCCGCCACACTGGGGATGGAGCCCACAACCTGGGCATATGCTCTGACCTGTATTCAAACTGCAACTTCCTGGCTCATAGGTTGATGCTCAACCACTGAGCCATGCCAACCGGGCTCCTTATCTCTTAATGATTTGTTTTTATAATTGGTTTGTTCAAATACCATCTATATATGTGGCTTTGCTTTTAGTTACAAGATTCTCCTTTTTTTTTTTTTTAACCGTGTAATTTAAAGAATTGGGTCATTTGCCTTGAGGCATTTTCCATATTCTGAGTTTGCTCA